TACGAGTGATATTGATGTTTATTACATACTATTTATTAGTCATTTTACTATTTGTCTAATGCATCAATCTTCCAAAGCTATCTATGAATTCATAAAGAATTTGACAGGAGGAATCCGCCAACTTCAAAGCTTGTTTAAGCAATATACTTAATCAAGATCAGTGTTCAACCGACTCCATTAGAGGAGTCGGAAAAATAGAGAAAATATACTTTATTTAATGATATCTATCTTTCTAATTAGGATTTTTTGGTATTTCCTAATCAATTTAATATATGTATTCCCAGTTATATCTATATATTCTCTTCAATATTTTATTGAAGATGTTATTATGACTCGATAATATATTAAATATTTAATGTATTGTATTAAGAAAGAAAAGACTTTTCATTTTCAAGATTTTGTTAAACAAATTTCTTCCATAATTCCTTTTATTCATCATAACATTATAACTGTAAAGTTATAATCTACATATTCTATACCTTTATGATACCTGAGGTAATCAAATTATGGCCAAAAGTAAAGACGTAAGAATTACTGTTACTTTAGAATGTACAGTTTGTCCACAAAATAGAAATAAACGTTTTCCTGGTGTTTCAAGATATACCACAAAAAAAAATCGTCGTAATACTCCGAATAGATTGGAGTTAAAAAAATTCTGTCCTCATTGTAACACACATACAATTCACAAAGAAATTAAAAAATAATAGAAGATAAATGAAATGGGAGATCACTATGAAAAAATTCGTTAGTAGACCAAAAAGATCGTCTAGACGCCGTAAAAAAACACCTATAAAACCAGGAGAAAGCATTGATTACAAAAATGTTGGTTTATTGCGTAAGTTTATTAGTGAACAAGGAAAAATTTTATCTAGACGTGTTAATCGATTAACATCAAAACAACAACGTGCTATGACAAGAGCTATTAAAGCAGCTCGTATATTAGCGTTATTACCTTTTTTAAATAATGAAAGTTAATCGTTGTGTAAATTGTGAAAAAAAGTAGTCAATTTATATACTTCTTCTTAAAAAAACAGGCAAAGAGATAGTAACTTGAATTTTTTTTTAAATTTCATCCATTGAAAATATCTTTTTGCCCACTCATATTATTTAGGGGTTCCAAGAAATGGATGACCCCTTATTGCATTTATCAAATAAATCATTTTTTTCGGTAGGCTTAGGAATAAGGAATAAGGAATAAGGAATAAGGAATAAGGAATAAGGAATAAGGAATAAGGAATAAGGAATAAGGAATAAGGAATAAGCAATAAGGAATAAGGAATAAGGAATAAGCAATAAGGAATAAGGAATAAGCAATAAGGAATAAGGAATAAGCAATAAGCAATAAGCAATAAGGAATAAGGAATAAGGAATAAGGAATAAGCAATAAGCAATAAGCAATATGCAATGAATTTTCCTGATAAAAAGATTTCTAATAGCTCTTGTTAGATTTTAAGACCTAGCAAGAGCTTTTTGCATTCTGATAATCATTCCTTGGTCATATGCAAAAAAAATATATAGAAATAATTTTGCTAAACACTATTCAATAACCCGTTAAAACCATCTTTATCTAAAACTGCTATTTGTGCAATCATCTTACGATTAATGGAAATTTTAGATGTATAGAGTTTGTTAATAAATCGACTATAAGAAAGCCCTTTTTGACGTACTGCAGCATTAATACGAGTAATCCATAATTTTCTAAAATCTCTTTTCCTTCTACTTCTATCTCTCTTAGATGAAACCAATGCTTTCATAACCTGTTGTTTTGCAGGTCTAAATAACCTTGAATGCGCACGACGAAATCCTGAGGCACATTCAAGAATACGATTACGGCGTTTTCTAGCTACGTATCCACGTTTAACTCTTGTCATTCTAAGTTTTTTATATAATAAAAATATTTATAACATAATATTATACTACTAAGAAAATTTTCCATATCCTCGTACAGGATACAATATCTCTTTATGAGAAATTATGTTATCTAAAAATATAGGTCTAATGTAGGGGAAAGGATCATAATGGCATTTGCTTCTGTAACCTTCCTTTGTATAAAGGCCTTAGTTCAGGTAACTCCTCAGAAAACAAGGGGGAATGCCTTGTGCTGAGAGCATTTATACATTACTTTGTTTCCATAAATTTTCTTATGACGGTAAGATTCTCTCTTTACACTGAAGCTAATTTTGTTCCTGATAGGAATTAAATAAGAGTGCAATTGAAAACCTGTACAAGATTCAATCTTTCGCTTTCTTATGTTGTATGCTAAGTACCTTATTTCTGACATAGATACTTAGAAAATATGAACAGTGTTTTATTACGAGAGTTCGCTGAGCAGCTAACCTTATGAATCCGTTATTGCAATGAACAACACATATTGTCTATTAATACTATATTTGTTCGTCTTTCTCGCTTCACGGATTGATGACCAGTCACTACCGTGGAGAAAGTGCATTCTATCTTGCACTAAGATGATTGGATTTACACCAAGGAAATTTATGAATTCCACCTATAAAAAAAATAAGTGGCAGATCCATACTCTAAAAATTCCTAGATTCTTCTGTCATATCGATTCTAGGTTTTTACTAGTTTAGATCTGAACAAATCACACATACACTCTAGTACATACTCCTCTTCTTTGAGGACAAGCTCGAAGGGCTGGAGACTTGGTTCTATTTTCTGCAGGTTGTCTGCTATGTCTAATAAGTTGTTGAATGGTAGGCATAAATTGTTTGAACAGAAATGTTCAGTTGAGATGAATCTTAACCACATTCTGTTTTGAACCAAAAAGAGAAAAATGATGTTAAGAAAGATTAGCTACTGAAAAATCTAAGGTAACTATAAGAGAACTATAGAGATTTTCTATCATTATTATAAAACATCTGGAGTAGAATCATTATCTGCTGCTACTAAATCTACAATTCCATATGCTTGGGCTTCTTTTGCAGACATAAAAACATCTCTTTCCATATCTTCAGAAATTACCCATGCTGGCTTCCCAGTACGCTGAACATAGACTCTTGTAATAGAATCTCGTAATTTCAAAACTTCTTCAGCTTCCATCATGCATTCACCTGCTTGCCCATCATAATAAGAACTAGCTGGTTGGTGAATCATTACTCTAGCATGAGGTAGGGCTAGACGTTTAGTAATTTCTCCTCCAGTTAAGATAAAAGAACCCATAGAAGCTGCTAGGCCCATACAGATAGTATGCACATCTGGTACTACAAATTGCATAGCATCATATACTGCAATTCCAGCCAAGACTGCTCCACCAGGAGAATTGATGTACATAAACATATCCTTACTTTCATCTTCTCCATTCAAATACATCATAATACCAATCAATTGATTAGCAATCTCATCATCTACATTCTGACCTAAAAAAAGTAATCTTTCACGATACAATCGATTATACACGTCTACCCAAACTGCCTCTTCTTCTCCAGGAAGACGAAAAGGGACCCTTGGAACACCAATAGGCATAATGTTAATTTAGTAATTAAATTGTATATACTCCCCTATATACACTATAGTACTATAGTGTCGTTAATTAGATGTTACATATTGCAATATGTTTTTTGTGTAAGATATAGAAATGTTTTTTCATTTAGAAAAAAACAAAAATTTTTTTTTCAAAAATTCCACAAACATTTGAACAAAAGCTTTTTGTCTACTTTCTATAGTATGTTTGTCTACTATACAGTATTTTTTTGTAAAAATATAGAATATTTTTTTGTAAAATTTTTTTAAGCAGTTTATGTACTTAAATAAATTAGAGTACGAAATGGATTTCTTTTCCTCTTCTTTGTTGTATTTTACACTAGAAATTTTTGAATTCAAACCATTTTCTATGTTGTGATGATAAACAAAAAATGTTACAATAAATACGGTTATATCAACAACAAGAGACCATAAAAAAATTGCGTTTAGAAAAAGATCACTATAGGGAAATAGTGCCTGGGATGTTGAAAATAAATAGCAAACGCAATAGGTCATCTTAGTGCAAGAGAGTCACAGAATGTCTAATTCTCTCTGAGAAAGAGGTGTTACCCATGGGTTTGCCTTGGTATCGTGTACATACAGTTGTTTTAAATGATCCCGGTCGTTTGATTGCTGTGCATATCATGCACACTGCTCTAGTTTCTGGATGGGCTGGTTCTATGGCTTTGTATGAACTAGCAGTTTTTGACCCTTCTGATCCTGTTCTTGATCCAATGTGGAGACAAGGCATGTTTGTAATTCCTTTCATCACTCGATTGGGAGTTACTAAATCATGGGGTGGCTGGAGTATCACTGGAGAAACCGTTAATGATGCTGGTCTATGGAGTTACGAAGGTGTAGCAGCTGTTCATATTGTTCTTTCTGGACTATTATTCCTAGCAGCAATTTGGCACTGGGTTTACTGGGATCTTGAACTATTCCGTGATGAGAGAACTGGCAAACCTTCCTTAGATTTACCTAAAATCTTTGGAATTCACCTTTTCTTATCTGGAGTACTTTGCTTTGCTTTTGGTGCGTTTCACGTAACTGGTTTATTTGGTCCTGGCATCTGGGTTTCTGATCCATATGGAATTAGTGGAAGTGTACAACCTGTAGCTCCAGCTTGGGGTGCAGAAGGATTCGATCCTTTTAACCCAGGTGGTATTGCGTCACACCATATTGCAGCAGGTATTTTAGGAATTCTAGCAGGATTATTCCACCTAAGTGTTCGTCCTCCTCAGCGTCTTTATAAAGGATTGCGTATGGGGAACATTGAAACCGTACTATCTAGCAGTATTGCAGCAGTTTTTTGGTCAGCTTTTGTAGTAGCTGGAACTATGTGGTATGGTAGTGCAGCAACTCCTATCGAACTATTTGGGCCTACTCGTTATCAATGGGATCAAAACTATTTCCAAGAAGAAATTGAAAGACGTGTTCGTGCTAGTCAAGCTGAAGGGTTAAGTCTATCTGAAGCTTGGTCTAAGATTCCTGAGAAACTAGCATTCTACGATTACATTGGAAATAACCCTGCTAAAGGAGGACTATTCCGTGCAGGTGCTATGGATAATGGAGACGGTATTGCAGTAGGCTGGTTAGGTCATGCTGTATTTACAGATAAAGAAGGTAATGAACTATTTGTTCGTCGTATGCCAACTTTCTTTGAAACCTTCCCTGTTGTTTTACTAGATAAAGACGGAGTAGTTCGTGCAGACGTTCCTTTCCGTAGAGCAGAATCTAAATATAGTATTGAACAAGTAGGTGTAACTGTACAATTTTACGGTGGAGAACTAGACGGTGTAAGTTTTAGTGATCCTACTACTGTGAAAAAATATGCAAGACGTGCACAATTAGGTGAAATTATTGAATTTGACCGTGCTACTCTTAAATCTGATGGGGTATTCCGTAGTAGCCCAAGAGGATGGTTCACATTTGGACATGCTAATTTAGCATTCTTATTCTACTTTGGCCATATCTGGCATGGTGCTAGAACTCTATTTAGAGACGTATTCTCTGGAATTGATCCTGATCTTGAAGCACAAGTAGAATTCGGTCTTTTCCAAAAACTTGGAGACCCAAGCACCAAGAGACAAGCTGTATAGATATAAATATCTGTACTCAGTTCTATTTATGTATCTTAGTATGTATCAATGAATCTATAAAAAGATTCAAAAAATCGATTAGTACGAAAGCTATTTTCACACATTTTACTACAAATCATATTTATGGAAGCCCTGGTTTACACTTTTCTGTTGGTCAGTACTCTAGGCATTATCTTCTTTGCAATCTTCTTCAGAGAGCCACCAAAGGTGCCTGTAAAAGGGAAGAAATAGGCCTATATTAGACTTAACCTTGTAATTTTTTTTGTATCCTATTTATCTATTTGTATAGTAATACAAGGATCATCTTATTCTTTTCAATATGAATTATAGGGTGGCCCTCCCCGTATTCCTGTGAAGTTTGGGAAAGGCCTAGAAAATTAATCTTCGTGTTCCTCAAATGGATCGCGAAGTTCTTTTGAAGGCTGTCCAAAAGCTGTATACAGGGCATAACCAGTAAAACTTACAAGCAGACAAGATATAAAGATAACTACCAAGGTTGCTGTTTCCATTTTCAGGTAATTCCTCAAGAATGAGAATGTTTGGTTTCCACTATGATAGTACACAAAGTCAACAAATCTCAACCAATGAGTAATAAGATTTATGGCAACACAGATCATTAAAGATTCTACCAAGGGCAGAAGAACCGCTGTTGGTGACATATTAAAGCCACTTAATTCCGAATATGGTAAAGTAGCTCCAGGATGGGGCACTACTGTACTTATGGGTGTATTTATCGGATTATTTGCTGTATTTTTGGTTATAATTCTAGAATTATACAATGCTT